AGAAGCAGCAGAGCTGTGGGACTAAACTAGCAGATGTCACACGTGGTGTGCAACATTGGAGCAATATAGCGGGAGGTGAGTAGGGGATGGAGAGAGAGGAGGATCGGCAGAGCTGGGGGTTTGCTACTGGGCAGCGGGGGAAGCAGCAGAGCTGGGGAGAAGCAGCAGAACTAGCAGATGTCACACGCGGTGTGCAATATAGCGGGAGGTGAGTGGGGGCTGGAGAGAGAGGAGGATCGGCAGAGGGCTGGGGGTTGCTACTGAGCGGGGAGATCAGCAGAGTTCGAGGTTACTACTGAGCGGGGAGATCGGCAGAGCTGGAGGTTACTACTGGGTGGAGGATCAGCAGAGCTGGGGGTTACTAGTAAGCAGGGGATTGGCAGAGCTAGGAGTTACTAGTGAGTGGGGGAGATCGGCAGAGCTTGGGGGTTGCTACTGGGCGGGGGATCGGCAGAGCTGGGGGTTACTACTGAGTGGGGAGATCGGCAGAGTTCGAGGTTACTACAGAGCGGGGGATCGGCAGAGCTCAAGGTTACTACAGAGCGGGGGATCGGCAGAGCTCAAGGTTACTACTGAGCGGGGAGATCGGCAGAGCTGGGGGTAACTACTGAGCGGGGAGATCGGCAGAGCTGGGGTTTACTACTGAGCGGGGAGATCGGCAGAGCTGGAGGTTACTACTGGGTGGAGGATCAGCAGAGCTGGGGGTTGCTACAGAGCGGGGAGATCGGCAGAGCTGGGGTTGCTACAGAGCGGGGAGATCGGCAGAGCTGGGGGATGCTACAGAGCGGGGAGATCGGCAGAGCTGGGGGATTACTACAGAGCGGGGAGATCGGCAGAGCTGGGGAATTACTACAGAGCGGGGAGATCGGCAGAGCTTGGGGTCGATACAGAGCGGGGAGATCAGCAGAGCTGGGGGTCGACACAGAGCGGGGATCGATCGGCACAGAGCGGGGGAGATCGGCAGAGCTGGGAATTACTACAGAGCGGGGGATCTGCTGAACAGGGGTACTGATCAGCTGGGGGTGCCCTGAGCCGGGGTTCTAGAGAGCTCCATTAAAACAAATAGAAAAATCAACACACACGGCCTTTGCAGAGCTTCATTAAAGCCTCAAAACACGTAAACAAATCACGTTGCAGCTTTAGGAGCTTTATTGTGCGTTGAGGTGGAAGGAAGTGTAAACGAACCCTCAATAGCTGCAACAGGAAGTGAATAAATCCCTCTAAAGTGGGGAAAATCCCAGATTGTCACCAGAATTGTCCCCATTGGAAGTTTTCCCCTCTATTCCTGTTGTGTGGACACCCCAAAATGTGTGATTTTTCTCTTACTCGGTCCACAAGGTGACAACCCTCTTACAGGAAGTGGGGGAAAAAAATTATGGAGAGGACTCAATAGTTTGTGGGGTTAATACTTGTATATGGTTGCCTACAGGAGGATTGGAAAAGAAAAAGGAAAAAAATATCAGATGGCCCATAATACTCCCTCTTGCTACCAGCAATCCTTAGTTTTGCAGCAGTAGTAAGTGCGTGATCATGAACGCAGAAGGATGGGAACAATATCCTTCAATGGATTCCAAGAAAAGGATTTAACGATGGCTAAAAATAATCCTGTTTTCTTTTTATTGAGGGACACGGCAAGTTTTTCCACCTTTTTTTTGGAATGTCCAAATGAGGATTGGTCAACAGCAAAAAAAAAAAAAAAAAAGCCTTACAGAGCCACCAGAAAGATGGGGACTATAAAAGAGGTGTCTGAAGGACCTTATGGCCAAGGCTGGCACATCCACCTGGTGGAACTTGGAGTATGTGTGAATAGAAGACCAGGTGCCAGCCTTGCGAGTCTAGGAGACTATTGCTCGATGGTAAAAACCCAAGAAGCCCTCATAGATCTAGTAGAGCAGCCAATCTCAACCAGTATTCCGCCAGAGGTTGTTAGGGGTTTCTTGAGCTATCGATGATTGACCTCCCATTGATGGTGTCTTCATAGATTCAGGTCCAGCCTTGCACAAGACCAGCCATTCTCGACCAGGGTTCCTCCAGGAGTTGTTTTCAGTTCCTTGAGCTGTCGATGATTAAGCTCCCATTGCTGGTGTCTTCATAGAACCAGGTCCAGCCTTGCTCAATACCAGCCATTGTTGACCAGGGTTCCTCCAGAGGTTATTGTTTTTAGTTCCTTGAGCTGTTGATGATTAACCTCCCATTGATGGTGTCCTCATAGAACCAGGTCCAGCCTTGCTCAATACCAGCCATTTTCGACCAGGGTTCCGCCAGAGGTTGTTAGGGGTTCCTTGAGCTGTCAATGATTGACCTCCCACTGATGGTGTCTTTATAGAACCAGGTCCAGCCTTGCTCAATACCAGCCATTCTCGACCGGGGTTCCTTGAGCTGTAGATGATTGACCTCCCATTGATGGGGTCTTTATAGAACCAGGTCCAGTCTTGCTCAATACCAGCCATTCTCGACCAGGGTTCCTTGAGCTGTAGATGATTGACCTCCCATTGATGGTGTCTTTATAGAACCAGGTCCAGCCTTGCTCAATACCAGCCATTCTCGACCGGGGTACCTTGAGCTGTAGATGATTGACCTCCCATTGATGGTGTCTTTATAGAACCAGGTCCAGCCTTGCTCAATACCAGCCATTCTCGACCAGGGTTCCCCCAGAGGTTGTTAGGGGTTCCTTGAGCTGTCGATGATTGACCTCCCATTGATGGTGTCTTTTATAGAACCAGGTCCAGCCTTGCTCAATACCAGCCATTCTCGACCGGGGTTCCTTGAGCTGTAGATGATTGACCTCCCATTGATGGGGTCTTTATAGAACCAGGTCCAGTCTTGCTCAATACCAGCCATCCTCGACCAGGGTTCCTCCAGTGGTTGTTAGGGGTTCCTTTAGCTGTCGACGATTGACCTCCCATTGATGGTGTCTTCTTGGATCCAGGTCCAGGCTTGCTCAATACCAGCCATTCTCAACTAGGGTTCCTCCAGAGGATGTTGGGGGTTCCTTTAGCTGTAGGTGATTGACCTCCTGTTTGATGTTTTCATACATACAGGTCCAGGCTTGCTCAATACCAGCCATCCTTGACCAGGGTTCCTCCAGAGGTTGTTAGGGGTTCCTTTAGCTGTCGATGATTGACCTCCCATTGATGGTGTCTTCTTGGATCCAGGTCCAGGCTTGCTCAATACCAGCCATTCTCAACTAGGGTTCCTCCAGAGGAAGTTGGAGGTTCCTTTAGCTGTAGATGATTGACCTCCTGTTTGATGTTTTCATAGATCAAGGTCCAGGCTTGCTCAATACCAGCCATTCTCAACTAGGGTTCCTCAGTAGAGGATGTTGGGGGTTTCTTCAGCTATAGACGATTGACCTCCCATTGATGGTATCTTCATGGATCCAGGTCCAGGCTTGCTCAATACCAGCCATTCTCAGCTAGGGTTCCTCTAGAGGATGTTGGGGGTTCCTTGAACTGTAGATGATTGACCTCCCATTGATGGTGTCTTCATCGAACCAGGTCCAGCCATTCTCAAGCAGGGTTCCTGTAGCGGTTGTTAGGGGTAACTTGAGCTGTAGATGATTGACCTCCCATTGATGGTATCTTCATGGGTCCAGGCTTGCTCAATACCAGCCATTCTCAACTAGGGTTCCTCTAGTGGTTGTTGGGGGTTCCTTGAGCTGTAGATGATTGACCTCCCATTGATGGTGCCTGCATAGATCCAGTAGCATGACACCAATGATCTTTAAAGCTGTCTTCTAACCACAAATGTAAGGAAGGAGCGGGGGGCATTCTTCCCACTGACCTCCCATGTATGGGGCTTTTTCCTAGAGACTTTCAACGGACTAATCATACCTGGGGTTCACCAAGACATGAAAATGATTTCAAGTGTTCCTCTGGAGTCAAGAAGAACAAGGTCTGGACTTGAGGTTTGAGAAAGCTTTTTAGTCGAGTGTGCCTTGAAATGAATGGGTTTGTCCCGATCCTTGACACCATTACCTTGAATGATGACAAAAAGGGAATTGGTCTTCCTGCAAGAAGATGTCTCCAAGAGGCAGACGCTCAAAGCCAGAACCATATCCTGACCTTGGAGAGAAACCTCCTTTTTTTGGTGAATTAGAGCAGGAGAGAGGGACGGGAAGTATGATGTCTAGAATGAGGTGAAAGGCAGAAACTACGGTAGGGACAACATGGTGTTGAAGATCAGGACTTTTTGCCTATGTAAAACCAGAAAGGGTTCCTTGCTAGAGAAGTCCTTCAGTCACTCACCTCGCAGATGTGATGTCTATAAGAATTACCACCTGTGGGTGAGGGCGGAGAGAAGAATGGGTTCAAATGGTGGTTTTCTGAAGCTTCGAGACTGATATTTGGTACCCGTGGAGTCACAGGAATGAACAGGAGAGACTCCACCCAAAGGTCTCAAACAAGAAATAAGAGCTGTGAAATTTCTTTTGAAGCTTCCACAGTACAGGTCCTCTTTAAATCGAATTCACAGATGCTGTTTTACATCCCCCCCCAGTTCAGCTCAGCTGTCATTATGATTTACATCCCCCCTTCCTGCCACACTGCAGAGGCAGGACGATCCTGAAATGACTTTGGCTCGAGGTGGATGGATTACGATCGATTATTTATTTAGATTGCACAGAATACGGCATCACAGGAAGGATTTGGAATCTCTTTGGCGGGAGATATCAAGCCCCGCCCTTAGTGTATACAATCCCACTTAGGAGATTAGGTCAAGGAAGTGTTTAGGAAGGGAAACCTTGAACCCCATCTCCCATATTATTTAAGCCGGCCCTTTACTGCCCACCCCCCCACCCACCGTGTAGAGCAGGATCATGGAACTTTGTCTCGTCGCCATTCTTTGGCTAGGTTGCAGGAACTTTGATATCCTAACCACCTAGGCGATGCTGTGATATGGGGTACAAAATGCAAACAAAAAGCAGGACAGAGGTTGGTGTCCCCATTGGGCAGATTTTCCTTCCCAAAAAGAAGGTGGTAAAAACCCAGGAGGGTTACAAATGTGATCAGGCATTTAGATTGGACGGCAGGTCCAAAAAAGGAAAGTATAAGGAGATACCCTCACCATCGTTGGAGAACCCTAATAGTGATTAGCCGGTGACGTTGGGGCCCACCCAAAGAGACGAGGTCATCATCCCAGACCTTCACCGCCCGAAACAATCCTACTTTTTCCACCCTCCTCCTCTGGTGTTGTGTTTATTATTACAGGTGCTCTTTAAACATCCCAGTGATTGATTAGTTGTCCTGCTCAGCAGCCTGAGTATTGATTACTTAGTGTCCATGTTCAAGGCACGATCAGCCGATCCTGCCATGTCCGTCAGCCCTGACTCTTCTTGCCGACGGTGCCGTACAGGTCGGCCCTGCGGTGATTCTGCACCGGCATCTCTCTCCGCACGCGGTGGAGGCAAGGCAGGTCGATCTCCGCGTAGCACAGCCCGGGTCCCTCTCGGCACTGCGCTACGACAGCGCCCCAAGGGTCCACCACCATGGCGTGGCCGTATGAAGTCCTGCGCTGGTTGTGGCTGCCGGTCTGTGCCGCCGCCACCACGTAACACTGGTTCTCTATGGCTCGGGCCCTCAGCAGCACCTGTGGGATAATGGGAGAGGGGTCAGGTTTGCAATCAGAGGTGTTACAATCAGGACTCCGCCCAGATTTGGTCACGCCGACCTTTCAAATTGACCACCCACCTAGCTCACCCAATATCCTAATCCCCTGACTGGTTCTTGCACCACCCCCTATAGATCTCATATGTCATGTGATGAGAGGCTGCAGAAGGCATGTCCAGGAACTCCTCCCCTTCATCAAGGGGAAGCCCTAACACCTGGCTTGTTCCAGGTCAGAGGTTCCCTGGGCAGCGGAGAAGGGATCAGGATGACAGACTTGAGTTGAGCGCCTTTAAGAAGCCACCATTGGCAACTCTACTGTTGCGCTCCAAAACGCTCAGGACTGTGCAGGGGAGTGATCTAGGCTGTGCTGGGGAGGTGCCAGGACTGTGCAGGGGAGTGATCTAGGCTGTGCTGGGGAGGTGCCAGGACTGTGCTAGGGAGTGATCTAGGCTGTGCTGGGGCGGTGCCAGGACTGTGCAGGGGAGTGATCTAGGCTGTGCTGGGGAGGTGCCAGGACTGTGCAGGGGAGTGATCTAGGCTGTGCTGGGGAGGTGCCAGGACTGTGCTAGGGAGTGATCTAGGCTGTGCTGGGGCGGTGCCAGGACTGTGCTAGGGAGTGATCTAGGCTGTGCTGGGGAGGTGCCAGGACTGTGCTAGGGAGTGATCTAGGCTGTGCTGGGGAGGTGCCAGGACTGTGCTAGGGAGTGATCTAGTCTGTGCTGGGGAGGAGCTAGGACTATGCTAGGAAGTGTCAGGGGGGTACCCCTCCCCCGTTAGCCAGATTCGATTCTAATTCTTTTTATTGGGCCCTTCAGCATCCCGACCACCTGCCACCCCACGTGTCTCCTCCCCCCCCCCTGCAACATTCTGATTGACCCCTCATCTTGTAGATCTCACCTGCACCCCCACAGCACATGAGCCTCCGCCATAAATGGCCAATCCTGCTGCCAAGAGGAAGACGTCTCTGGGCCGGCCCCTCCTGCCTCTGTATTGGTTGCTGTCCCATTCCCCCCCCCCCCCCCCTCTCATACAAACCTACCTCCCAGTGCGCCAGGCCTGTGGTGACGATGAAGGCGGAGGGGTAGGTGAGAATTTCCGCTCCTTCCCGGGACAGCGCCAGCGACATCTCGGGAAAGCGAAGATCGTAGCAAATGGCGAGACCGACCTGCCGCAGAGGAAAACACAAATTCCACAGCTAAAGCCACTTTGGTTCTGTTTTGGATGGAGCGGGGTGATCCTATTTATTCAGGTGACAGTGTTGTCACCGCAACAGGAAGTGATGGGAAATCAACATGTTGTCACCAAATACAGAAAATAGAGAGAACTTTCCAATCAGGACACCTGTTCTGGTGACAACGAAGAGGAGACTTCCTCTCAGTTTGAACAAAAACTCTCACTTCCTGTTTTGTCTCCAAGACAAGAACTGAAGAGGACCCCCCCTTAACTAGCTAAAGGACTGGTAAAGGGTACTGCTGGGGAGTGGGTAGGGCTGTGCTGGGGAGGAGTCAGTATTGTGCTGGGGAGTGGTCCAGGGTATGCTGGGGCCAGGACTATGCTAGGGAGTGATCAAGGCTGTGCTGGGAAGGAGCCACTGTGCAGGGGAATGATTATGGCTGTGCTGGGGAGGGGCCAGGGCTATGCTAGGGAGTGATTATGGCTGTGTTGGGGAGGAGCCACTGTGCAGGGGAGTGATCATGGCTGTGCTGGGAAGGCGCCAGGACTGTGCTAGGGAGTGATTATGGCTGTGTTGGGGTAATCTAGAGTGATTAGACTGTGCTGGGAGTGATCAACGCTGTGTTGGGGAGGTGCTAGGAAGTGATCAGGACTGGGCTTCAGAGGAGACCAGGACTGTGCTAGGGAGTGATTATGGCTGTGCTGGGGAAGAGCCAGGACTGTGCAGGGGAGTGATCATGGCTGTGCTGGGAAGGAGGACTGTGCAGGGGAGTGATCAGGCTGTGCTGGGAAGGTGCCAGGACTGTGCAGGGGAGGATCATGGCTGTGCTGGGGAGGAGCCAGAACTGTGCAGGGGAGTGATCATGGCAGTGCTGGGGAGGAGCCAGGACTCTGCAGGGGAGTGATCATGGCAGTGCTGGGGAGGAGCCAGGACTGTGCAGGGGAGTGATCATGGCTGTGCTGGGGAGGAGCCAGGACTGTGCAGGGGAGTGATCATGGCGGTGCTGGGAGGAGCCAGGACTGTGCAGGGGAGTGATCATGGCGGTGCTGGGGAGGAGCCAGGACTGTGCAGGGGAGTGATCATGGCTGTGCTGGGGAGGAGCCAGGACTGTGCAGGGGAGTGATCATGGCTGTGCTGGGAGGTGCCAGGACTGTGCAGGGGAGTGATCATGGCTGTGCTGGGAAGGTGCCAGCCAGGAGTGATCATGGCTGTGCAGGGAGCCAGAACTGTGCAGGGGAGTGATCATGGCAGTGCTGGGGAGGAGCCAGGACTCTGCAGAGGAGTGATCATGGCGGTGCTGGGGAGGAGCCAGGACTGTGCAGGGGAGTGATCATGGCGGTGCTGGGGAGGAGCCAGGACTGTGCAGGGGAGTGATCATGGCGGTGCTGGGGAGTAGCCAGGACTGTGCAGGGGAGTGATCATGGCGGTGCTGGGGAGGAGCCAGGACTGTGCAGGGGAGTGATCATGGCGGTGCTGGGGAGGAGCCAGGACTGTGCAGGGGAGTGATCATGGTGGTGCTGGGGAGGAGCCAGGACTGTGCAGGGGAGTGATCATGGCTGTGCTGGGAAGGTGCCAGGACTGTGCAGGGGAGTGATCATGGCGGTGCTGGGGAGGAGCCAGGACTGTGCAGGGGAGTGATCTGGGCTGTGCTGGGGAGTGATCAAAGTTGTGTAGGGGAGGATCCAGGACTATGCTGGGAAGTGATCAGGTCTGTGCTGGGGAAGAATCAGGACTGTACTGGGAAGTGGTCAGGGATGTCCTGGGGCTGGACTGGGGCAGTGCTGGAGAAAGACTGGGGTCCTGCTTGGAAGAGGAGTCAGGATTGTTCCGGGGTGTGGTCGGAGCTGTGCTGGTACTGTCCTGGGAAGGGATTGGGTAAGTGGTCAGGACTGTACTAGGTCCAGGGGAAGCATTGGGGCATCGTCCGGGACTGTGCCTGGAATTTTTTGGGGTGTGACTAATTCTATAAATCGTTGTACATCGCTCTAGAAAAGCAACCGCACCTTTCCCACCGGTGTGCAGACGGGGGGTACCAGCTCCACCCCCGGGATCGTGAAACTGCTCTCCTTCAGGGACACCCCACTCTGTAGCTCCACATCAAATAGGTGAGCCTTGCGGTAGATGGACCGGATGCATCCTGCGGAAAGACACACACGGGGGGGGGGGTTATTGGGGAGTCACCAGAAGATGACAGACCTACAAAACGTCGATGTTCAGGGTGCTGAGATATCCGTTTTTAATTCTCTGCGGTGAAAAAGTGACTCTCCACCTTGAAGTGAAAGGAAGCCCTCCCCAACGCTCTGCTGGGGCGTGCCCAGGAATAGGCTGGGCAATGCTGGGGAGGGGCCTTTTATTTAAAAAGGAAATTACAATGGTATTTAAAGCATCCCCGCCAAAATGTTTTCCGTTAGTTTCAGGTACCTGTGTCATCCAGGAGGAGGTGGGAGTTGGAGATCCTGCGGTCTTTCTCCCAGTTGGGGCCCTTCTCGTGGAATCCACCCAGAGACAGCCACAGGCGGCACTCCCTGAACCCGAGAGAGAAGCAACAGTCAGGACATAAATCCGGCCAATGGCAAAAGTCCAGGGCAGTGCAGAGGAACTGCTGTGCTATGGGGTGGCTGGTACTGCTGCGGAGGGGACGGGTCAGCACTAAAGAGGGTCTGGGGGAGTCCTGGGAAAGGGCGGGGGCAGGGCCAGGAGGGAAGGAGGTGGAGCAGAGAAAGAGCTGTGCTTTAATGCTGAGGAGGGGAGGGGATGGGACGGTGTTAGGGAGGAGCTGGGGAGGGGAGGGGATGGGACGGCACTAGGGAGGAGGTGGGATGGTATTGGGGAGGAGCTGGGGAGGGGGTGGGACGGCACTAGGGAGGAGCTTGGGGAGGGTCTGTGCCGGCGAGTGGTTGGGGCAGTTCAGGGGAAGGGCCAGGGCTCTGCAGGGGAAGGACTGTGTGTGGGAGTGTCCGGGATCCTGGGACGGGGATAGGACAGCATTAGGGAGTAGCTGGGGAGGAGCTCTGCTGGGTAGTGGGAGGAGAATACTAGGGAGGAGCTTGGGGAGGGGATGAGACGGCGTTAGGGAGGAGCTGGGGAGGGGGTTGGACGGCACTAGGGAGGAGCTTGGGGAGGGTCTGTGCCGGCGGGTGGTTGGGACCGTGTTGTGGAGTGACCAGCACAGAGCTGGAGGGGGGATGGGGCAGTTCAGGGGAAGGGCCAGGGCTCTGCAGGGGAAGGGCTGTGTGTGGGAGTGTTCGGGATCCTGGGAAGGGGATAAGACCGCATTAGGGAGTAGCTGGGGAGGAGCTCTGTTGGGTAGTGGGAGGGGCTGTGGCAGTGCTGGGCAGGGGATAGGCGAACACTAGAGAGGGGCTGGGACTCTGCTGGGTTGTGGGCAGGGCTGGGGCAGTGCTAAGGATTGGCAGGGGTAGTGCTGGGGAGGAGCTAGGACAGCATTTTAGAGTGGCCAGGGTCTGAGAGGGCTGTGCTAGGGAGGTGATAGGACAGCACTAGGGAGGAGTCAAGGGCTGAGGCTGTGCTAAGGAATTTCTGGGGGAGGGGCTGGGACAGTACTGGAGAGTGGCAAGGCTATGCTGCGGATGGCAGTGGAAGTTTTGGGGGAGGGCCTGTGTTTGAGGGGAGGGGCTGTATTTGAAGAGGAGTTGTGTTGGGGGAGGGCCTGTGTTAGGGGAAGGGCTGTATTAGAAGAGGAGTTGTGTTGGGGGAGGGGCTGTGGTGGGGGAAGAGCGGAGGGCTGTATTAGAGGAGGGGTTGTGTTGGAGGAGGGGCTGTGCTAGGGCAGGGGCAGTGTTGGGGGAGGGGCTGTATTAGGGGAGGGGCAGTGTTTGAGGAGGGTCTGTGTAGGGGAAAGTGTTGTATTATGGAAGGGCTGTGTTAGGGGAGGAGCAGTGTTGGACAGGAGCTTTATTAGGGGAGGGTCAATGCTGGGGGAGGAGCAGTGTTGTGGAAGGGGCTGTATTAGGGGAGGGGCAGTGTTGGGGGAGGAGCTGTATTAGGTGAGAATCTGTGTTGGGGGAGGAGCTGTATTAGGGGAGGGGCAGTGTTTGATGAGGGTTTGTGTTGGGGGAGGAGCTGTATTAGGGGAGGGGTAGTGTTGGGGAGGAGCTGTATTAGGGGAGGAGCTGTTATGTGGAAGGGGCTGTATTATAGGAGGGGCAGTGTTGGAGGAGGAGCTGTATTAGGGGAGGGGCTGTATTAGGGGTGGAGCAGTATTAGAGGAGGGTCTGTGTTGGAGGAGGAGCTGTAATAGGGGAGGGATTGTGTTGGGGGAGGAGCTGTATTAGGGGAGGGGCTGTATTAGGGGTGGAGCAGTATTAGAGGAGGGTCTGTGTTGGAGGAGGAGCTGTAATAGGGGAGGGATTTGTTGGGGGAGGAGCTGTATTAGGGGAGGGGCTGTGTTAGGGGTGGAGCTGTATTAGAGGAGGGTCTGTGTTGGGGAGGAGCTGTATTAGGGGAGGGGTTGTGTTGGGGAGGGAGGAGCTGTATTAGGGGAGGGGCTGTATCAGAGGAAGGGCTGTGTTGGGGGAGGAGTTGTATTAGGGGACAGGTTGTGTTGGAGGAGGAGCTGTATTAGAGGAGGGGCTGTTTTGGGGGAGGGGCTGTATTAGGGAGGGGCAGTGTTGGGGGGGAGCTGTATTAGGGGAGGGGTTGTGTTGGAGGAGGAGCTGTATTAGAGGAGGGGCTGTGTTGAGGGTGGAGCTGTATTATGGGAGGGGTTGTGTTGGGGGAGGAGTTGTATTAGGGGAGGGGTTGTGTTGGGGAGGACCTGTAATAGGGAAGGGGCTGTGTTGGGGGAGGGGCTGTATTATGGGAGGGGCTGTGTTGGGGGAGGAGCTGTATTAGGGGAGGGGCTATATTAGGGTAGGGCTGTGTTGGGGAGGAGCTGTGTTGGAGGAGGAGCTGTATTAGGGGAGGGGTTGTGTTGGGGGAGGAGCTGTATTAGGGGAGGGGTTGTGTTGGGGAGGAGCTGTATTAGGGGAGGGGTTGTGTTGGGGGAGGAGCTGTGTTGGGGGAGGAGCTGTGTTGGAGGGGTTGTGTTGGGGGAGGAGCTGTATTGGGGGGGTTGTGTTGGGGGAGGAGCTGTATTAGGGGAGGAGCTGTGTTGGGGGAGGAGCTGTGTTGGGGGAGGGGCTGTGTTGGGGGAGGAGCTGTGTTGGGGAGGAGCTGTGTTGGGGGAGGAGCAGCGTCTCACCTGGCCAGCGCGGCGTATTGTTGGATCAGCGCCCCCTCCAGGCTCTCGGCCAGGCTCAGCGTCTCCTCGGTGCTCCCCCCGATGTAGTCGAAGGCCTCGGGGAGGAAGACCATGGCGGCGTTGCGGGCGGAGGCCTCCCGGATGAGGGCGGAGCAGGTGGACAGGTTCTCCTCCTTGTTGGCGGTGGAGGTCACCTGACAGACGGCGATCAGCGGATTGTGGGCAGAGCTCCCCGACATTGTCCTGAAACTTCACAAAGAACATCAGAAATGTTTTCTTTTGGGAGGACTGGAGGGGGGCGGAGCTGAGGGGAGAAGACCGATGTGGGCGGAGCACACATTTTATAAACTCCGCCCACAAGGAGATCTATGGAGGGTTACTGTAACAGAAGTGTGACTGTGGGCGGGGAGTGAGGTGACTGGGGGGAGTCACTATGAAGAGGACCTGTCATATCCCCATATAGATGAAGGATCCTCTGTCAGGTCTGGACTTCCTGTGACCCCCATTCTAATTTCCGGTCCTCGTGTTACAGGAAGTCCAGGGAAATCTCCCCTTTGGGGACACAGACAGATACACCCACCCAACCCCCACTCTACAGTTCTGGGTGGAGTCACTCACCTCCTCAGCGCCCCCCACAGCCGCACGCCGACCCTCATCTGCGCTCTGCCCTCAGTCAAGATGGCGGCGGAAGGCGGGGCGACCGGAAGTGACGCTTTCAACGACTTCCTGCGGCGAGCTCACACAGTGGAGGAAACATGGCGAGTGCGGCGGCTAAACAGATCGCTGCGGAACAGGTGAGGAGACCCGGGGGGACTACAACTCCCAGCATACAGTCCTCTTATACTGAGGACTACAACTCCCAGCATTCCCTCCCCTGTGCTGAGAGGACTACAACTCCCAGCATTCCCTCCCCTGTGCTGAGAGGACTACAACTCCCAGCATTCCCTCCTCTGTACTGAGAGGACTACAACTCCCAGCATTCCCTCCTCTATACTGAGAGGACTACAACTCCCAGCATTCCCTCCTCTATACTGAGAGGACTACAACTCCCATCATTCTCCCCTCTGTACTGAGGGACTACAACTCCCAGAATTCCCTCCTCTATACCGAGGGGACTACAACTCCCAGCATACCCTCCTCTATACCGAGGGGACTACAACTCCCAGCATACCCTCCTCTATACCGAGGGGGCTACAACTCCCAGCATACCCTCCTCTATACCGAGGGGACTACAACTCCCAGCATACCCTCCTCTATACCGAGGGGACTACAACTCCCAGCATACCCTCCTCTATACCGAGGGGACTACAACTCCCAGCATACCCTCCTCTATACCGAGGGGACTACAACTCCCAGCATACCCTCCTCTATACCGAGGGGACTACAACTCCCAGCATAACCTCCTCTATACCGAGGCGGCTACAACTCCCAGCATACACTCCTCTATACCGAGGGGACTACAACTCCCAGCATACACTCCTCTATACCGAGGGGACTACAACTCCCAGCCTAGGCCATCACGGTAGCGTTTTGCTCCTTTCTTTCCGTCCTCATTTATTCTCTGAATATATTTTTTTATTCAAGGGGAGCCTATCAGAGAGTCTCCGGTCCCAGCAGAGGCTCCACCCATACTAGGGCAACCATTGTGTCTTTCCCGGAGGTGGTGACACCTGACAGGTCCTCTTCCCAGGTCACATAGAGGGCCACACCTGGCTGCCAGAGGATCCCCTCCCCCAATAATCACTCTGACCCCGGGCTGGAAGGAGCGCAGACATGCCTTGATTCTCCAGTATTAGGAGTTGGAGTTCTCCTTTAAACCGGTAACCTTTTTTGCTGCTCCATAGGTGGTGGCGGGGTTCAATCGCCTGCGGCAGGAGCAGAGGGGTCTGGCCTCCAAGGCGGCCGAGCTGGAGATGGAGCTGAGCGAGCACACGTGAGTACCATCCCCCGCACACGGGTCACGTGTCTGAAAACTCCGCCCTAAATCAGCGCCTGGTTACCTTCCATCCCCCCTTTATGTAGCTCTCGGTGCCGCCCAGTCAGTGTCTGACCTCCTGATAGGAGCACCGATCCCCGGAGTGTGCACCACCCACACTAGGGCCCCACAGGAGAATGACAGTAATGGACCCACCCCCTCCCCTGCTCAGTGCTGTGAATGGGGCCCCCACGTGGGGTTTCCATTTTTCTGGCCACCTCGGAAATTGTCAGAACTTTTCATCTCAGTTCTTGGGGGAAGATATTTCCACACACGCACCCGGCTTCCTGTGACCTCACAGCAGCCAGTGATGTCAGTCTGAAAAGGGGCGGGGCCTCATTCATCCGCCATCTTTTTCTGTCTCTCCCAGTTTGGTCATTGACACCCTGCGGGAGGTGGAGCAGGGCAGGAAGTGTTACCGCATGGTCGGGGGCGTCCTGGTGGAGCGAACGGTGAAGGAGGTGCTGCCGGCATTGGAGAACAACAAGGATCAGGTGAGCCCCGGGACCCCGGCGCCTCCAGTGAGGCAGTTTATATGGAGGGGGGGGACCCTCCGGGTCAGCCAGTCTGGGTTGTCACCATGTTTGTATGGAACTGAAAATGGTCAGTTTAGCAGATAAATGACATAGAAGAGTGATGGAGACTTCAGGAGCCTGTACAGGTAACAAATACTAGGCTCCACCCCCCTATGCCCCACCTTTAGAATGCTCATTGGGCTGCTAGTGACATCACAGATGACACCCACCCTGAGCTCCTATCCTGTAAGAGTCCTTCCTCCTCCCACTCATTGGAACAGCCCCGCCCACTGCAAGCCTGATTTCTTCTGGCAAATCTAAACCATGCTTTGTATATGGAGAGAAACTACAACTCCCAGCATGACCTGCTTCTGTATACTGAGGAGGGACTACAACTCCCAGCCTGCCCTGTGACTTTATACTGAGGTACAACTTCTTTCATGTGTGCATCTCTATATTGGGGGACTAGTGCTTGCAGCATGCCCTGCGCCTCTATACTAGGGGAACTACAATTCCCAGCATGCCCTGCGCCTCTATACTAGGGGAACTACAATTCCCAGCATGCCCTGCGCCTCTATACTAGGGGAACTACAATTCCTCCTCTATACTGTGGGGCACTACAACTCCCAGCATGCCCTCCTCCTCTATACTGTGGGGCACTACAACTCCCAGCATGCCCTGCTCCTCTATACTGGAGGAACTACAACTCCCAGCATGCCCTGCTCTATACTGAGGGACACTAACTCCCAGCATGCCCTGCTCCTCTATACTGGAGGAACTACAACTCCCAGCATGCCCTCCTCCTCTATACTGAGGGGCACTACAACTCCCAGCATGCCCTGCTCTCTATACTGGAGGAACTACAACTCCCAGCATGCCCTGCTCTATACTGAGGGACACTACAACTCCCAGCATGCCCTGCTCCTCTATACTGGAAGAACTACAACTCCCAGCATGCCCTGCTCCTCTATACTGAGGGGCACTACAACTCCCAGCATGCCCTGCTCCTCTATACTGAGGGGCACTACAACTCCCAGCATGCCCTGCACCTCTATGCTGGAGGAACCTGCAACTCCCAGCATGCCCTGCTCCTCTATACTGGAGGAACTGCAACTCCCAGCATGCCCTGCTCCTCTATACTGGAGGAACTGCAACTCCCAGCATGCCCTGCTCCTCTATACTGGAGGAACTGCAACTCCCAGCATGCCCTGCTCCTCTACACTGGAGGAAATGAAAACAACTCCCAGCATGCCCTGCTCCTCTATACTGGAGGAACTGAAACTCCCAGCATGCCCTGCTCCTCTATACTGGAGGAACTGCAACTCCCAGCATGCCCTGCTCCTCTACACTGGAGGAAATGAAACTCCCAGCATGCCCTGCTCCTCTATACTGGAGGAACTGAAACTCCCAGCATGCCCTGCGCCTCTATACTGGAGGAACTACAACTCCCAGCATTCCCTGCTCTATACTTGAGGAACTGCAACTCCCAGCATGCCCTGCTCCTCTATACTGAGGGAACTACAACTCCCAGCATGCCCTGCTCCTCTATACTGAGGGGCACTACAACTCCCAGCATGCCCTGATCCTCTATACTGAGGGACACTACAACTCCCAGCATGCCCTGATCCTCTATACTGAGGGGCACTACAACTCCCAGCATGCCCTGATCCTCTATACTGAGGGGCACTACAACTCCCAGCATGCCCTGCTCCTCTATACTGGAGGAACTACAACTCCCAGCATGCCCTGCTCCTCTATACTGAGGGACACTACAACTCCCAGCATGCCCTGCTCCTCTATACTGAGGGGCACTACAACTCCCAGCATGCCCTGCTCCTCTATACTGAGGGGCACTACAACTCCCAGCATGCCCTGCTCCTCTATACTGAGGGACACTACAACTCCCAGCATGCCCTGATCCTCTATACTGAGGGGCACTACAACTCCCAGCATGCCCTGATCCTCTATACTGAGGGGCACTACAACTCCCAGCATGCCCTGCTCTAAAGCAGGGGTTGTGCACATTGAAAACCGAATTCTTTACATCTGAAGGCCCCTACCTGATTCCTAAGGGGAGCTCATCGTGAAACGTAACGCCTGTGTGCGAAGCTCGGACGGAAGCTGTCATCCAGGGATGATGACTCCACCAAGTCGGTTCCCTGAGCTTCCATCTGAGGCTTCCCACACAAGTCTCATCCCGCCCGCCTAACTCCGCCTCCTCTCCACCCCCCCCCCCCCGCAGATCAACAAAATCATCGAGACGCTGACCACGCAGCTGCAGACGAAGGGGCGGGAGCTGAACGAGTTCCGGGAGAAGCACAACATCCGCCTGATGGGGGAGGACGACCAGAAGCAGCCGCCCAAAGACGGAGACGGCTCCGGCGCCAAGAGCAGCTCGGCCGGCGTCCTGGTCTCCTGATCTCCCTCCGCCGCACCTCCTCCATGGAAGGACTCTCATTTCACTGGGCACTTCGGTTGGGTTGAAGCTCGCGGAGGGCGGGATTGGGGGTGGGGGGGAATCTCGGGGGCGTTGCCAAAAATGGAGGACGACAGATTCCGCGTCATGCTCTGAATTTGGGGGGTTCGCGGTGGAATTTGGGCTGTTTGCTTTTTTTTTTTTGGTCTTATTTTATTAAAGTTTACTTTTTTTGGTTTTGTTAAATAAAGTTTGTTGAATGGCTTTGTTTGTCTTGTTTTTTTTTTAAATGTTTTTTATTTTTAATAAACTTTATTAGTTTGTCGTGTTCAAAGTGTCTATTCAGCGGCTGCCCATCTGCCAGTTGTCACGCCGGACGGCTGAGGTGACACGGGGACGGCTATTTTAAATGTTCGACTTCGCTGCGGTCTGCTCGGGGGAGGGGGGTCAGTACTCTCAGCACCCAATACGGCAGCTATCTGCATTTAGGGATGGGTTTCTCAGCCGAGGTTCCATGAGACGTCCCCAGGGGTTCCGCCATAATCTACCCGCCGTGATAGGTCGATCGCATCCCCTCTGCTGACACATGCAGAGCTACGCAGGGAAGCGGCTGTGATCATGCTAGTTGTGCATTGCTGCTCCCTGCCGGCCCCTCCTCCCCAACTGACCATCCCGGGCGTTTGTATGTGACATCACCTGGGATGGTCAGGAGAGGCCGGTGAGGGACAACCCACCAGAAGAGGACTTATCACAGCCGCTTCCCTGCTTCACTCCGCATATGGGGATGGCTGCTGCTTTGCCTTTTGCCCTGATCCCATGTAAGGTGCCCTGTCGTTGTGCCCTGATCCCATGTAAGGTGTGTCGTGTGCCCTGTCCCATGTAAGGTGCCCTGCCCCCTGATCCCATGTAAGGTGCCCTGTCGTGTGCCCTGATCCCATGTAAGGTGCCCTGTCGTGTGCCCTGATCCCATGTAAGGTGCCTTGTCGTGTGCCCTGATCCCATGTAAGGTGCCCTGTCGTGTGCCCTGATCCCATGTAAGGTGCCCTTGTCGTGTGCCTTGATCCCATGTAAGGTGCCCTGTCGTGTGCCCTGATCCCGTTGTAAAGGTGCCCTGCCGTGTGCCCTGATCCCGTTGTAAGGTGCCCTGCCGTGTGCCCTGATCCCATGTAAGATGCCTTGTCTTGTGCCCTGATCCCATGTAAGGTGTCCTGTCGTGTGCCCTGATCCCATGTAAGGTGCCTTGTCGTGTGCCCTGATCCCATGTAAGGTGCCCTGTCGTGTGCCCTGATCCTATCCATGTAAGGTGTCCTGTCGTGTGCCCTGATCCCATGTAAGGTGTCCTGTCGTCTGCCCTGATCCCCATGTAAGGTTCCCTGCCATGTGCCCTGATCTCATATAAGGTGCCCTGTCGTGTTCCCTGATCCCATGTAAGATGCCTTGCTGTGTGCCCTGCTTCCATGTAAAGTTCCATGCCATGTTCCTTGATTTCATGTAAGGTGCCCTGATCCATGTAAGGTTCTCTGCCGTGTGCCCTGATCCCATGTAACATTCCATGCCGTGTTCCTTGATCCCATGTAAGGTACTCTGGTGTACCCCATGTATGGTGCCCTGCTGTGTACCCTGATCTCATGTAAAGTGCCCTTTTGCCCCCCCCCCATGTAGTGTCCCCCCCTCCACATTGCCTATCTCAGGTTGGACCCAGAACTCAGCATCCATGCAGAAAACTGCCCCGCACAAGTTTCAGGGCGACTGGATGAGCTTTCATACTAATTCTATTCTATTTACAGCCGTCTCTGAAAAGAATTGTTCTACCAACAGGCCGCTGATCACGCCGGCGTTCCGGGAGCTGTAGATCTGAATCTTCCTCCAAAAAGGCAGAGAAACCCAGATTTCAGGGTTCCATGCGGGTCAGAGGCTCTGTTGGTACTTTGAAGCGGACCGGTCATCAGACGCACGTTTCCACGCTCGTTGCATTTATTTCATTTTATTGATCCCGCCCCTTTCTGCAGCTTTGTGCCGATTTTAGCTGCAATACAGAAATAAGACGCGGCTGGAAGGAACAATGGGAGAGAATGCGAGGGAATCGCAGCGCAGATGTCTGATTGTCGCCGTCTGCTGGACAACGTTGTGTATTGCGCCCTCCCTTCTGTGCAGATCTGCATGACGGACGGTGTGATGTCGCCACCTGCAGGAGCAGGACAGTAGGTGCGACCAAAACTACAAGTGCGCTCAAGGGGTGCTCCTTGGTGGTGGGGTGCTCAGAACCCCCCCCCCCCCCCCCCATCATTAGATATGTTTCCCATGTTAAGTAATGTCAGTGTAACCCTCCCAGAGACAGCGGGACTCCCACAACAACGCCGTCATCTGCTTGACTTTCTGGAAATGAGATGCCCGGTACCTTTTTCATAGGCTTTTTTGAGTTTGGGCAAGGACACAGGGGCCCCATGATCCCCTATTGCCTGGGGGCCCCATGAGTTGTCAGTCTGATCCCCCCCCTGGCCTGGACTGACATGGCAGCTCAGAGATGACAGGATCCTCTCCAATCCTGGTGCCTGTGCAGTTCTTGGCTGTGTTCACAAATGTCTGACACAGATCAGTCCCCCCTCACCTTAGGACATGCTGCAAAGTTACAATGTACAGTCTGATCACTGGGGGGAGGGGAGACTGAGGAAACACCTCCTCTACAAAGTTACAATGTACAGTCTGATCACTGGGGGAGGGGAGACTGAGGAAACGCCTCCTCCTCCTACAAAGTTACAATGTACAGTCTGATCACTGGGGGAGGAGACTGAGGAAATGACTCCTCCTCCTACAAAGTTACAATGTACAGTCTGATCACTGGGGGAGGAGACTGAGGAAATGACTCCTCCTCCTTCTACAAAGTACAGTCTGATCGCTGGGGGAGGAGACTGAGGAAATGACTCCTCCTCCTACAAAGTTACAATGTACAGTCTGATCACTGGGGGAGGAGACTGAGGAAATGACTCCTTCTCCTTCTACAAAGTTACAATACAATGTACAGTCTGATCACTGGGGGAGGAGACTGAGGAAATGTCTCCTTTCGATCTACAAAGTTACAATGTACAGTCTGATCGCTGGGGGAGGGGAGACTGAAGAAACGCCTCCTCCTTCTACAAAGTTACAATGTACAGTCTGATCACTGGGGGAGGGGAGACTGAGAATGTCCTTTTCACATGAAATTATTTTTATTTGTGTTTTGGGCGATCGTTATTTGATGAAATTCCAACTCTTTCAGTCAGTAGAACAAGTTCATTGTCAAGGCACAGAAAGTCCCAAGGTCATAAACAGGGGGGGGGGGGGGGTCTGGAGGTGAAAAGGCCTGAGGATTGGTTGCAGGTCTTGTCTTTGGCCCCCCGAATGCCGAAGCACCCAAGATGGCCGCCTCTTCTGCCTGCACCTCGGCCAAGCCTCGGTCATGAACTAGTCTCCAGCACGCAAATCTCAGGACACGGCGTCTTGCCGTCCGCGCCGAACCCGCCCACCAAATAGAGGCGATCATTGAGTAGGCAGGTCCGATGGCCGACTCTCTTGTGTTGAGGGCCGAAGCCCGGGAACTGGAACCAGGACGTGGGGGAGGAATCTAGGAAAAGACCAAAAATATATATATTTATATATCTCAATCCTATATTACAGGACACAAAAAAAAATCATAGACCCTGGACTATGGGCTTGTACCTTCAGGTGATTGGACATTGACAAAGCTATCGAGGACACGCCCCCTGGGAGCCTTCCCTATAACCGCACCACATAATTCCCCTTAGCTACATATGACAACATTTTTACTAAAAGTGGCAAATCTGTTAACTGAACCCTTGGAGGTGGGATTTATCTTTGAAAGTAGTGCCATGTTCCTCAGGGGTGTGGCTTTTTTTCCAGAGCTAAAAGGCAGCCAAAATCCACTATCCAGAAGGAATACACTACATGAACTACGTACTGCACATTTCCCTTAGTTTTTATACGAAAGCTGTACTTAGAGTGGTATATCTGGTAACTGTATTCTTGGAGGCGGGGTTTATTTTTTGAGCCGCTTTCTTGTTCCTCAGGGGTGGGGCTTCTCTAAGAACTATAAGACAAATTCACTTTCCAGGAACAACGATACTAAAAGTATTTTATTCCCCTTGGCTACATAAGATAGCTTCACTGAGCGTAGTATCTGGTGAGCTCTACTTTTTGCAGGTGGTTCAATGTTCCTCAGGGGTGTGGCTTCTTCAAGAATGATACGAAAGCCAAAATCCACTACATAAAATACATACTGTACATTCCATTTATATCACACAAAGTTAAGCTGTCATACGTGGCTAAGTGGAATGTACGGTATGTATTTTATGTAGTGGATTTTGTCTTTTGTATCATTCTTGAAGAAGCCACGCCCCTGAGGAACATGGAAGCTCCTGCAAAAAGTAGAGCTCACCACCTACTACCCTTAGTGAAGCTATCCTATGTAGCTAAGGGGAATTATCTACTTTAAGTAGTATTATGTTACTTCTGGAGAGTGGATCGTGACTGTCATATAGTTCTTGAATAAGCCACGCCCCTGAGGAATATTGAACCACCTCAAAATATAAATTCCACCTCCAAAGATACAGTTATCAGATATACCCCAAGTGAAGCTGTCACATATATGACACAGCTTAACTTTGGGTGTTATATCTGGTAACTGTATCCTTGAAGGTGAGAATTTTTTTTTGTGGTTTCCATGTTCCTCGGGTGTGGCTTCTCTAAGAACTATGACAAATTCACTTTCCATAAATAAGAATACTAAAAGTATTTTATTCCCCTTGGCTACATAAGATAGTTTCACTGAGGGTAGTATCTGGTGAGCTCTACTTTTTGCAGGTGTTTCAATGTTCCTCAGGGGTGTGGTTTCAAGAATTATACGAAAGCCAAAATCCACTACATAAAATACATACTGTACACGTATGACAGCTTAACTTTGGGTGGTATAAGTGGAATGTACAGTATGTATTTTATGTAGTGGATTTTGGCTTTCCTATCATTCTTGAAGAAGCCACACCCCTGAGGAACATTGAACCACCTGCAAAAAGTAGAGCTCACCAGATACTACGCTCAGTGAAGCTATCTTATGTAGCCAAGGGGAATAAAATACTTTTAGTATCGTTGTTCCTGGAAAGTGAATTTGTCTTATAGTTCTTAGAGAAGCCCCACCCCTGAGGAACAAGAAAGCGGCTCAAAAAATAAACCCCGCCTCCAAGGATACAGTTACCAGATATACCACCCTAAGTACAGCTTTCGTATATAGCTAAGGGAAATGTGCAGTACGTAGTTCATGTAGTGTATTCCTTCTGGATAGTGGATTTTGGCTGCCTTATAGCTCTGGAAAAAAAGCCACACCCCTGAGGAACATGGAACTACTTTCAAAGATAAATCCCACCTCCAAGGGTTCAGTTACCAGATTTACCACTTTTACTAAAGTTGTCATATGTTGTCATATGTAGCTAAGGGGAATGAATGTACTTCACATAGTATTACAATACTTCTGGTTCTGAAAGAAACCCCACCCCTAAGGAACGTGGAAATGTCTCCAAAAAAGCAAAGTCCACCCCTGAAGGTACATTTACCAGATTTACCGCCTTTAGCTGTGTTCGCAGCAGTATATATCATGCTTTTCTATGGGAGCTGTACCAGAAGAGGCAGGGGCGGACTGACCATTTGGAAACTCGGGCACTGCCCGAGGGCCCAGGGTCAGTAGGGGGCCCCATGAGATGCCCCTGGTACCTTTTTCATAGGCTTTTTTGAGTTTGGGCAAGGACACAGGGGCCCCATGATCCCCTATTGCCCAGGGGCCCCATGAATTGTCAGTCCGCCCCTGAGAAGAGGTATATGTGACATCACAAGGGGGCGGGGCTTGACACAATTCTAGGTCAGTAAAGAGCAGTGGGTACTTCAAGAGCCAACTTACGTGTGTCGCCCACATAAAGGTCGTTGCAAACGGCATCTCTGCCCCTGGACAGAGTCTCTCCACCAAATACAACCACAAACGGGCCAACCACGGAACACGAATGGTGCCTCAGGCTCTTGGGCTCGGTGCGTTTTGCCCCCTTGGAGGACAGAAGTTGCGCTAGCTGCTCCGTAAGTCGGGAACTGGGCTCTGTGTTCTCCTAAGGGACACAAAAAATACGAAGGACACCATTTTAAAGCCTCTATCCATAAATTTGGCCGTAGAACTTAAAGAGTCTTCATCGCCTGTTTGCCGACCGTGAAATTTACCAAAATTTTATTGACAATTTTTGTAATTGTTTTAAATTTGTATCAAGTTCCCCTCGTCTTGAGAAACGGTGACTGTGGTCTTCTTGGTTGGTCTGGTTCCTAACAGGCGGAGCTAACCCCTCATCACTGGCATGGCCTTGGCAGACTGGGAATTTGGCTTTGGAGCCGAGCTGCTGTTGTCACCACGCTGCTAACTCTGAACTTTTGAACTCCAAGGAGAATTTGAATGTAGGCGGGGCGGCAATTGAAGTTCAGTGGGCCATGTTTAGGGTTCACCGAAGCCTCAGGTACGGAGGGCCCCAGGGCTTGATGAGCCAGGGCTCCGTGTTCCAAAAAAGCAGCCGTACTCTGACACTCACCAGAACTTTGTCTCTGCCCCAGCGTCCAATCACATCAACCGTGGAAGACTCCCGTCCACCGAACACGTAGAGGGAATACCCAACTTTCTTGGTATCGCTTCTCAAGAGAACGGCGGAATGCCCAGACCGGGACGCGGTGTGCCACTCCTCCTCCTTGTACCTGAAAGAACAGGAAACCTTTTTTTTTTTTGCTTTTATGTAGCCAAGGGGAATGTGTGTAGTGGAAGAAGCCACGCCCCCCTGAGGAACATGGAAGCTCCTGCAAAAAGTAGAGCTCACCACCTACTACCCTTAGTGAAGCTATCCTATGTAGCTAAGGGGAATTATGTACTTTAAGTAGTATTATGTTACTTCTGGATAGTGGTTTGTGACTGTCATATAGTTCTTGAATAAGCCACGCCCCTGAGGAACATGGAAACATTTCAAAAATAAATCCCACCTCCAAAGATACGGTTATCAGATATAACTCAAGTGAAGCTGTCATATGTAGCTAAGGGGAATGTGCAGTATGTATTTCATGTACTGGATCTGGATAGTGGATTTGGCTGGAAAAAGCCACACCCCTGAGGAACATGGAAATTCCTCTTAAAATAAAGCCCACCTCCAAGGGTTCAGTTACCAGATTTACCACTTTTGGTAAAGTTGTCTTATGTAGCTAAGGGGAATGTATGTACTTCACGTAGTATTATAATACTTCTCGCATTGTGGATTTTGGCTGTTGTATAGTTCTTGAAGAAGCCACACCCCTGAGGAACATGGAACCATCCAAATAAAATTTCACCTTCAAGGATACAGTTACCATATACACCACCCAAAGGTAAGCTGTCACATGTAGCTAAGGGGAATGTACAGTATGTATTTTATATAGTGGATTTTGGCTGCCTTAAGGCCCTGGAAAAAGCCACACCCCCTGAGGAACATGCGACTACCTCTAAAAGTAAAGCCCAATGCCCAGGGTCCATTCACCAGATTTTCCACCTTTAGCAAAGCTGTCTTGTGTAGCTAAGGGGAACGTGTATACTTCACGTAGTATTATCATTCTTCTAGATAGCGGATTTTGGCTGTGGCATAGTCCTTGATGAAGCCACGCCTCTGAGGAACATGATCCACCTGCAAAAATAAACCCCGCCTCTAAGGATCCACGTACCAGATTTGTCACTTCTAGTGAAATGGTCTTTGGTAGCTAAGGGGAATATATGTATATTAATTCGGGAGAGTGGATTTTGTCTGCTTAGAGCTCTGGAAGAAGCCAAACCCCCGCTGAACATGGCACTGCCAATTGAAAAGCAGACCCCGCCCCTGAGGATACAGGTCAAATCTTAAATTGGATTCCAAAATGGTTGCTTCCATTGAGTGTACGATAATATTCATATTTTCAAGCCTGGATTCCAAAAACGGAAGCGCACGGAGGTTTTGAAGGACTTACCTGTAGGTCTTGGAGCTGGCGTTCAACCCGTAGAGTGTACACGCTAGCGTACCGCCTCTGCGTCCGCAGTCCTCCCTCCCTTCCGACTACACAGAGCTCATTGTCGGAAATCTTGGTACACGTGTGGCTACTCAGCCCCACTGGAGGGTCGCTGGAGGCTTCACCGGTCCACGTCGCCCATTCTGTGGTCTCGGTGTCATAGCCAAGGATGGAGGACAGGCGGCGTGAGCCATCCCAGCCCCCCACCACGCACAGCCACCTCTCCCCCAATGGGACTGTGTCATGGTGGCTCCTCCGGGACACAACCTGTGGGGCGCTGGTGGTGACTATCAATTTCTGGTCAGGGTCAAAAGTCACCACATCACCAAGTGGACGTTCTCTGGGGTCCCCTGATCTGACTCCGCCGTATAGGTAGAGTTTACCCCGAACGGGGGTGCAGGTGTGAAATGCGCGGGCAAACTGGGCATCCTGGGCCACCGGAGTCCAGGTCCAATGGGAGGCGGTCATGGGGCGTCCTTCCTGGAAGGAGAGAGAAGAGTCGTAAACCTTGTAGGCCGTCCCTACAGGCCACCACCATGTGTATTCATGACAACCTCTACTAAGACACACCCCCAGTTCCTGAAAGCACCGCCTTTTCTTCTAAGGCACACCCCCAGTTCCTGAAGACGCCGCCTTTTCTTCTAAGGCACACCCCCAGTTCCTGAAAACACCGCCTTTTCTTCTAAGACACACCCCCAGTTCCTGAAAACACCGCCTTTTCTTCTAAGACACACCCCCAGTTCCTGAAGACACCATCCTCTTCTTCTAAGACACACCCCCAGTTCCTGAAAACACCGCCTCTTCTTCTAAGGCACACCCCCAATTCCTGGAAACACCATCATTTTCTTCTATACACACTCCCAGTTCCTGAAGATCCCGCCCTTCTTCTAAGGCATACCCCCAATTAACTTCTAGGGATACACCTTCATTATTAGCTATACCACCGCTCCATTCCCCCTCCCCCATCCATTCACCATACCGACTCCATTCACCCTCCCCCTCCATTCACCATACCTGCTCCATTCCCCCTCCCCCATCCATTCACCATTCCATCATCCATTTACTAACCCTCCAGCCATTTACCATCTCATCATCCATTCACCCTCTCCCCCACCCAGTCACCTTCCCACTATCCATTCGCCATCCCATCATCCGTTCATCAGCCCCTTATCCATTCACCATACCCCTTCCCTTCACCATCTGCCTGTCCACTCGCTTTCACCCATCCAGTCACCATCTATCCATTCATTCACCATCCCCCATCCATTCATACCTGCTCCATTCACCCTCCTCCATCCATTCACCATTCCATCATCCATTTACCAACCCCCCATCTATTCATCAAACCCCACCCATTCACCATCTCATCATTCACAAATCCAGCCAGTCACCTTTCCACTATCCATTCATCAGCCCCCCATCCATTCACCATTTCCCTTCACCATATCCCTGTCCATTAACTTTCTCCAATCCAGTCACCATTGATCCGTTCATTCACCATCCCCCCCATCCAATTACCAACCCCCCCATCTATTCATCATCCCCCACCCATTCACCATCTCATCATTCACAAATCCCCCCATCCATCCAGTCACTTTTCCATTATCCATTCACCATCCCCCCATCCATTCACCATATCCCTGTCCATACACTTTCTCCCATCCAGTCACCATCGATCCCTTCATTCACCATCCCCCCCATCCAATTACCATCCCCCCTTCCATTCACCCTCCCTCTTTCCTACTGTTGCTGATTGGTGTACATTAGCATGGCCTCGTTATCCTCCTTCCTTGGGTCACATTTGGTTGGTCCCGCCCCCCGTAGATCGGGAACGTCCCACAAGAGGCGCAGCGTTGGATTTGCTCTGACCCCGCCGTCCCGTCCGGACATTACAATTTGGTCCTCAGATCCATTTTTTTCTGCTTTCAACACATCAACTTCGGGGACAACATGTTCACCGGCTGCCTGATATGCCCCGCCCACTTCAGATCTCATCGTCGTGAGACAATCGTTTTCTGTTACATTGTAACTGAACAATCGATGTCCCTCGTCTGTCATTGGATGGAATGTGATCGCCGATCGATGTATATAGAGGAGATGATGTCATTCGCTGCTGTATGAAATGTCTGCACTCACCACATTCAGGAATGCCGTTGTGATCTTGCTGCCACGGCAACAGCCCCGGCAACTGACACGTCTCCCTAGCAACAGCAGCCAGAAGGAGGAGCCTCGCTGCAAATGTGCTTAGTCTGCTCCGCGCTCCTCCTACCCCAACCATCCGCCTCGTCTAGCCAGAGAACCTGCAACGTCAGGCCAGGCGCTCCGATGTGTGCCGCTCCCTACGTCACCGAGGATTCCACCCACAACTGATACCGAGGATTCCACCCACAACTGACACCGAGGATTCCACCCACAACTGATACCGAGGATTCCACCCACAACCGACACCGAGGATTCCACCCACAACCGACACCGAGGATTCCACCCACAACCGATACCGAGGATTCCACCCACAACCGATACCGAGGATTCCACCCACAACTGATACCGAGGATTCCACCCACAACTGATACCGAGGATTCCACCCACAACTGACACCGAGGATTCCACCCACAACCGACACCGAGGATTCCACCCACAACCGATACAGAGGATTCCACCCGCAACCGACACCGAGGATTCCACCCACAACCGATACCGAGGATTCCACCCACAACCGATACCGAGGATTCCACCCACAACCGATACCGAGGATTCCACCCACAACTGATACCGAGGATTCCACCCACAACTGATACCGAGGATTCCACCCACAACTGATACCGAGGATTCCACCCACAACTGACACCGAGGATTCCACCCACAACTGACACCGAGGATTCCACCCACAACCGACACCGAGGATTCCACCCACAACCGACACCGAGGATTCCACCCACAACTGATACCGAGGATTCCACCCACAACTGATACCGAGGATTCCACCCACAACCGATACGAGGATTCCACCCGCAACCGACACCGAAGATTCCACCCACAACCGACACCGAGGATTCCACCCACAACCGACACCGAGGATTCCACCCACAACCGACACCGAGGATTCCACCCACAACCGATACCGGGGATTCCACCCGCAACCGAACCGAGGATTCCACCCGCAACCGACACCGAGGATTCCACCCGCAACCGACGACGAGGATTCCACCCACAACCGACATCGAGGATTCCACCCACAACCGACATCGAGGATTCCACCCGCAACCGATACACACCGAGGATTCCACCCACAACCGATACACACTGGGGATTCCACCCACAACCAATGACGAGGATTCCACCCACAACCGACTTCTCAGGATTCCACCCACAACCGACTTCGAGGACTCCACCCGCAACCGACACCGAGGATTCCACCCGCAACCGACACCGAGGATTCCACCCGCAACCGACACCGAGGATTCCACCCGCAACCGACACCAAGGATTCCACCCACAACAGATACCGAGAATGACACCCGGCATCCGGGACAGGAGAAGTGGGACTGAGCAGAGTCCATACATGGAGGAGAACGCTCCTCTATACAATGTTTAGTCGCCGGGTTGCTATGGTAACAGCGCTCCTTTCTCGCGGTGTCTGCTGGCCTTGATCATACAGTCATTCATCCCGCCGTCTGCGGTGCGGTTGTCAGGCGGTGCAGCGATGAGTCATGTGACGTCCCTTCAGGATTACTTCCCTCGCATTCTTAAAGCAACAGTGATGGATGAACTGCCGTAACCCGCGGCAACCGCTGACAGGTCCCAGATACGTGACAACAAAGATACAATGTATATCCTTATATGTTGCCATTGCAGGTATAAATCCTGGTGCCTGTGCTTCACAAATGTCTGACACAGATCAGCCCCTGCTGCCACCACCTTGTGACTTCACCTTGTGACTTCCTACAAAGTTACAATGTACAGTCAGTCTGATCACTGGGGGAGGAGACTGAGGAAATGCTCCTCCTCCTCCTACAAAGTTACAATGTACAGTCTGATCACTGGGGGAGGAGACTGAGGAAATGCTCCTCCTCCTTCTACAAAGTTACAATGTACAGTCTGATCACTGGGGGAGGAGACTGAGGAAATGCCTCCTCCTCCTCCTACAAAAGTTACAATGTACAGTCTGATCACTGGGGGAGGAGACTGAGGAAATGCCTCCCCCTCCTTTTTACAAAGTTACAATGTACAGTCTGATCGCAGTCCCGCTATAAGTCGCCGATCACCCCAGATGTTACCCCCTTCTTGCCCAGCGCCATTAGTACATTGTCAGTGCTTTTTATTAGCACCGATCACTGTATTGGTGTCACTGGGGATGTCAGTGACACCAAGTCAGTTCCCCCCCCCCCAGTGTCAGAATGCCCTGGAAAAAAATCCCCGTATCTTTCCCGCCATTTGTAGACGCTATCACTTTCACACGTAAACCAATTAATTTACACATATTGGGATTTATTATTTTTTTTTTTTTTTTTTAGCGAAGACACGGAGCAGAATACATTTTGGCCAAAATTGATGACGAAATTTAATTTTTAAATTTTTGTTTTACTTGACATGTTTAATAGCAAAAAGTCAAAAATAGCAAAAAAAAAAAAAAGACAATTTTGAAAAGAAAAAATATATATAATTAATTTTTTTACTGGATATGTTTTATAGCAAAAAGTCAAAAATATATATTTTTTTCAAAATTGTCGCTTTTTTTTTATAACACAAAAAATAAAAAAACCGCACAGGGCAGTGGTGGGCAAACTGCGGCCCTCCAGCTGTCATGGAACTACATCTCCCACGAGGCATTGAAAGGCTGACAGTTGCATCATGACTCGCAGAGGCATGATGGGACTTGTAGTTCCACAACAGCTGGAGGGCCACAGTTTGGCCCCCCCGGCAAAGGGGATCCAATACCACAAAAAGAAAGCTCAATTTGTGGGGAAAAAAAGGACAAATTGCATTTGGGTGCGGCGTTGCATGACCGCGCAAATGTAACGCAGCGGCCGTATGGCAAA